TATGCCTTCAGATACTTGAATCAAATGGTTTTGCTGATCTCTTTTTTCTCTGTTACTACAAAGGACATATGGATGATGACAGTAGGCAATGACCAATGTAAAAAAAAAATCAAAAAATATAAAAAAAAAAAGAAAAAGAAAAGAAAACGCAGCAAATTAAGCAAGTAAAATGCTTATAACAAAGACGGTGGAATAAGACAGGAAATATTGGGATCTCCAAAATTCTCCCACAAACAAGGTAAAGCATCCCCTCAAAATGAACCTGGAGTGGCACTGTGTCCAGAGGCAGCCTCAGCTTCAGGAACTTTCATTTCACAGACAGTGTGGGTGTCAGACAGCTGAGCAGGGGAAGACTGAAGAACTCTCCACTGTTGTGGGATGTCAGGCCCAGGTGTGCTGACCAGACACAGTCCTGGGCTGCAGCTGTGGGTGAAGAGGAGCAAGTACATGCCCGATGAGTGTGGCAGCAGAGGGGGACCCTGCTGACTGTGGGCACTTGCAGGGGAGCAGAGTCCCTAGTTTCAGTTCCAGGGCAGAGAAGTGAGGTGAAGCTTGCAGCCATAGGAGGGACTGCAAGAAGCAATAGCAGTTGGGGTGATAGTGTGGCTGCAGGCCCTGGACACGGCTCCGGGTGGAGAGGAGAGCACAAGGTCAAGCTGCCAGAGCTCAGAAAAGAACAAAACCTGAAGCGTATGGCATTATCCCCAGTACCTTGGGATTAAAACCTGACTATGATAATATGCCACTAAAAAAATAAATGAATGAATGAACAAGTTAGCAAAAGAGAAAGAACCTGACCACAGATAGTTACCATGAGGATAGAGAAGCTCTGGGTTAAAAAAGCCACTCCTACATCCAAGAAAAATGTCAAATGGTCATAAGCCCAGAAAGAGTTCTTAGAAGAGCTTAAAAAGGATTTTAAAAATCAAATAAGAAAAGCTGAGGAAAAATTAGGGAAAAAAATAAGAGCAATATAAGAATCAAGTAAATTATGAAAAGAAAGCCAACCTCCTGGAAAAAGAGATCCAAAAAATCAAGGAAGGAAAAAACTCCTTAAATCACTCGGCATTTAACTTATGCAGATCAAAGCATACTATCTGCTCTCTTGTTTTTGGTTGTTTCTTCTTTCTCGTTCTAATTCTTCATTACAACACGACTAATGTGAAAATATCTTTAATATGAACGTATATGCAGAGGCTATATCAGACTGCACACCATCTTGGGGTGGGGGAAGGAGAAGGAGGGGGAGGGGGAGAAAATTTGGAACTCAAAATCTTATGGAAGTGAATGCCGAAAACTAAAAATAAATAAATAAATAATAGCCTACCATTAGGCAAAGGAAAGCTAATGACATTATAAGACAGGAATAAATAATAAAACAAAATCAAAAGAATGAAAAAATAGAAGAGAATGTAAAATGATCTGGAGAACAGATCGAGAAGAAACAACATAAGAATTGCTGGACTACCTGAAAGTTATGATTTTAAAAGAGTCTAAATACTACATTACAAGAAATCATTAAGGAAAATTGCCCTGAAGTTCTGGAACAAGAGGGTAAAATGGAAATAGAAAAATCTATCAATCACCACTTGAAAGATATCTCAAGATGAAAACTCACAAGAACATTATAACCGAGTTTCAAAGCTCCCAGGTCTAAGAGAAAATACTACAAGCAACAAGAAAAAACAATTTAAATATTGTGGAGCTACGGTCTAGAAAACACAAGATCTAGAAGCTTCTACTTGACTGGAAAGCTTGGAACATTATATTTCAAAGAGCAAAGGAGCTGGTTTTGAAATCATGAATAACTTACCCAGCAAAGCTTAGTATAATCCTGAATGGAAAAAAGTACATTTAATAAATTGAAAGACTTTCAAGTAATTGTGACAAAAAGACCAGAATTCAATGGAAAATCAACACATAAGATCCAGGAGAAATATAAGGTAAACATTAAAGACCAATTATAAAGGATTCAATAAGGTCAAACTATTTACTTTTCACATGGGAAAATGTTATCTGTACTCTTAAGAATGTTATCATTACTTGGGTAGTTTGAAAGAATATACATAGATAAATGGCTTGAGGTGGAGTTGAGTATGATGGGATGATTCTAAAAAATAAAACTGGGTAGGGAGAAGTAAAATGGAGCAATTATCTCACACAAACAAGGCATGAATGAAGAACTGTTAAAGTGGAAGCAGGTGGAAGTGGACGGATGGTAGTGCTGGAACCTTATCGTCATCAAAACTGGGTCAAAGAGGGAATAACACATACACCTTGAAAGGCATAAAAGTCTCCTAAATTTATAAAGAAATAGGGTGAGGGAACAGGATAACGGAGGGACTTTTAAAAGGGTGTACATATCAAGAAGTAGGAGGATGGGGGGATAAAGAAGGGACTCTTTGAGGGGTGGGCAGATTAAGGAATAACATGGTAAGGGAAAAGGATAAGGGAGGGATTCTTAAAAAGGGTGTAGATTAGGGAGGTAGTGGTTAGAAGTAAATTAGATGTGTGAGGAGGGATGGGATAAAAAGAGAGGGTGAGAAGGATAACAGTGAGGAAAATAGGATGGAGAGAAAGACATAATTAGTAATTATAACTTAGAATGTGAATGGGATGAATTGATCCATAAAACAAAAACAGCAGAATGGATAAAGAATCAGAATCTGATAATACGTTGTTTACAAGACATTTAAAAATGAGAGATAAATACAGAATTAAAATACCGGAGAAGAATTTATTATGTTTTAGTTGATAAAAAAGCAGGGGTAGCAATCATGATTTCAGACAAAGTTAACGCTAAAGTAGATTTAATTAAACAAGATAAAAAGGGAAACTACACTATGATAAAAGGTACCACAGACAATGAAGCAATATCAATATTAAATCTATATGCACCAAATGCTATAGCATCTAAAATTTTAAAGGAAATGTTAAATGAATTATAGGTGGAAATAGATACTGGAGGCTGAGAAGAAGGTACACTCCTTTCTATTACCATTTAATTTTCTCCAGATACCTATCATTATCTAGCTTATCTAAGATTCTGTTCACCTCCTTGACTTCTTTCTTATTTATTTTTTGGTTAGGCTTATCTAATTCTGGGAGGGGAAGGTGAAAGTCCCCCGCTACTATATTTAGATACTGTATTTCTTCTTCTGTTAATCTTGGCAGTTTCTATTTTTGTAGCTATTTTTCCATTTTACTTAAATTGTTAAATTTATTGACATGTAACTGGGTAAAATAACTTATTATAATTGCTTTGATTTCTTAATAGCATATTCACCCTTTTCATTTTTAATGCTAGTGATTTGCTTCTCTTCTCTTTTTAAAAACTTACGCCTACCAGATTGGCTAAAATGATGGAAGGGGAAAGCAACAAATGTTGAAGGGGGTGTGTAAAAACTGGGACACTTATTCACTGTTGGTAGAAACATAAACTGATCCAACCATTTTGGAGAACAATCTTTGGAATTATACCCAAAGAGTTAGAAAACCATGTATACCCTTTGACCCAGCAATAACACTATTAGGTCTGTTTCCCAAGCTGATTAGGGAAAAAGGGAAAAGCCATGAGTGGCAACAGACTACAGTGGAAAATGTTAAATTTTAAATGAGAAAGTTGGATTAATGTCCCTTACAGCTCTATAGCAATGTTCTTATGGATAAACACAAATAAGAAGTAGGAAGCAGAAAAAAATTCCTGTCATTCACTGTTCCAGCTCGTCTTAGTCTAATTCAGAAGGGTCATCTCTCTGCTACTGACAAGTAGACAGGGATGAATGAAGTCTTAGAAGAAGCCCTTTCATTCCCTCCCTTTTATAATCTGGGGCACAAAGATAAGAAAGAGCTATGTATTACGTATTTGCTGAATAAATTTAAACTCTCTTCAGAAGTCAATGGTGTATGGGTGAACACTTTAGCTGTCTTTATATACTGACAGCCTGTCAAGTGAAATAAATATAAAATGTATAATTTTATACGTGTTTTGGTCAGCAGACTTAAAAGTTCTAACCTAATTCATAACAGATAAAATACTTGCCATGCTAATCTCCAAGGAAAACAATGAAAGGTCTTTGAAGAAGGGCTGGACTAAAATCCCAATTATTTGAATGACCTGAAACTTACAGGTGTTTTCATGGAGGTATTAATTACACAAAGTCTTGTTGACAGAGCGATAAAGTGACCTAATCATTCTGGAAAGTAATCTGAAATTATGCCAGATAAAGTAGCTAAAATAACCCAGAGATTCCAGTGTTAAGCACACATCTCAAGGAGGTCACACACAAAAGAAAAGCTCCATATACACCACAATACTGATAACAGCACTTTCTAAGGCTGAAAAGAATGGGAAACAAAGCAGATGCCCATTGACTGAGAAATAGCTGAATCAACTGTGGCATGTGAATGTAAGAGGATATTACCGTGTTGTAAGAAAAGATGAATATGAAGAATACAGAGAAGTATGGAAACACTTACATGAACTGATGCAAAGGGAGTAAGCAGAATCAAGAGAATATATATGATGTCTACAACAATGTATATGAAAAGAACAACCACTACAAAACAAAGAAAATGAATGCTGCAAAATTACAAAGCACAAACTTGGCCCAAAAAAAGTGATATGAGAAGACATGTCTCCTCTTCCTTTGTAGAGATGGATCTATGGATGTAAAGCACCGCATAGAATGTCAGTCTCTGCTATACTGATTGCTGGGTTTTTTCCTCTGTTTTCTCTTTAAAATAAATTATTTTAAGGGATGGATTTCAGGGAAGGGAAAGAGTAGAGATACAGGGAAAATCTTCTAGATGATGTAAAAACAAAAACATAAAAATCTATTTTTTAAAAATTGCTCATCAATCATCTAAACTTTACCATCTATCTCAACTGCCTCAGATAATCCACTAACAATGAAGACTGAAAACTAAAGGTGAATGCTAGGTAGGCTGTCCAGAAATTTCAAAATTAATTTTCATCAACTGAGAACAAAAAAGGATATTTGTCTCCCTGGTTTATCCCCAGATCTTCGGTGCAAGGGATGGAAGCGATTCCGGGAGACTCTTTCCACAAGCCCATGATGACGTGTTCCTCGAATGTTATCAACCTGGTGAAATGATGGCTGCAGAGAGAAGGAAAGAAAAGTTAATTCTCTAACTATATAAAGTAAGGCAGTGTTGGTAATTACCACTCCACCTCCCAACTCTGTCCAGAAAGAAATGCAAGACACTACTAACCTCCTGCAGAGAGGTGATAGATTCAGTCAGGATGCAGAGCAAGACTTTTTTTTTTTTTTGGTCACAGCTAATGCAGGAATTTCTTTTGCTTGACTACTTGACTATGAATATTTGTATATAAGCATTTTTTTAAGGGCATCTAGTTGGTTCAATGGATACAGTGCTGATCCTACAGTCAGGAAGACTCATCTTCATGAGTTCAAATCTGGCCTCATACACTTACCAGCTGGGTGACCCTGAGCAAATCACTTAACCCTATTTGCCTCAGTTTCATCATCTACAAAATGGGATGGAGAAGGAAATGGGAAAACACTCTAGTATCTCTGCCAAGAAAACCTCAAATGGGGTCACAAAGAGTCAGACAACTGAAAAATGACTGAACAACGACACATTTTCTTTTTATTTCTTCTTCAATGGCAGGGGAGGTAAAGGTGAAAAGAGATTTTTGTCTACTGAAAAAAACTGATTTAATTTTTAAAAACAAAAGTGATATAAAGATTGCAGAAATTTATGTTGCCAGTATCTTACTTTACTAAGTAAATTTATGAAGCAACACAGTGCAATGAAAGGAGCACTGGATTTGGATTCAGAGCACCTAAGTTCTAATCCTAGCTCTGCCATTGAGGGAGGTCACTTAGACTGTAAGTGACTTAACCCTTCTGGACCTCAGTCATCCTATCTGTAAAACTGAGGGGCTGGACTGGATAGAAGACTCCTTCCAGCTCTAAACCTATGACCCTATAATCCTATGGAAGACCAAAGGAAGTACAGGCTGAAAACACAAGTAGATTCAAGATTTCAGAAGAATTTATGAATGATGAAATTGTTAAATTATTTATTAAGGGATGCCAGGAATATTTGAATTCTACTTTGACTTTCTGAAATAGCCTGAGATTTCTGGAGACACCCTCAAATGGTTTCCAAGAAAGAAATCAAGAAGTCTGAATTTTAAGCCCCTTGCCACTACATAAATAACAAGGATACCTGAAAGGAAATTAATAACTGAATAGGTCTGAATAAATGGGGTCTGAAGATCTCAGTCACTAATGATAAACAAATGATTTTTTAGCAAGTAATTTTTAGCAAATAACAACAGATTAATGGCGTAATTTGGCACAAGAGATTGGAATAATAAACCATTCCATCTAGTACATGCCCTACAGGGAGGCATCTTAAGAGTCCAAAGGATAGTTTTTCTTGGAACTGATCTTTAGGCAAAAGATTATTCCTTCTTTGAGTTGATTTTTAAGAAAAAAGTTATTCTTTCTTGGAGATGATTTTTAGGTAAATAGAAAAGGGCCTTTGAGAGGCCCATTTTTCTAATATCAATATTCTTTTGGCATTTTTGTATGGCTATTAGTCATGGAACACTACAGTTTCCAAAGAATCAACTTGAGAATCACTGAACTGAAACTTCTCTCTGTAAAGGTAGCAGGGATCTCTTTAATTCTCATTTTCAGGTAGTCCATTTAGGTAAGCTTTACCACTTTCTGTTCTAAGCTGTTCTCTTCAATTCTTTCCTTTAGAGCTCTTATTTCTTCTTTTTTTAATCTCTTGCTTCATTTTTTTCCTAGGTATTGCCCTGACCCGTTTCTGGCCACTGGACCCAAATGGCTCCAGAGGAGAAAGTGGGGCTAGTGACTTCGTACAGCCCTCCCTCACTTAAATCCAATTCACTTGCATTTTAGGGCATCACCTTCCAAATGTTATAGTCCTCTTCAAGAACAAAGGACAAACAGAAAGCAACAGCAGCAAGGTATTCATGTAGTCTTCATGGAAAATCTGTCTCTTCCTTTCAGTCTCTGGTTGCAAGTCGTCACAGAGTACCCCAAGACATAACAGAACCACTCCCAGGCCTTGTGAAATCAGATCCTATGGATCCTGATGAGAGTAGGGCTCAGAGAGGACACATGTATCATCTTCCCACATGTGAATGTAGTGTTCACTCATGTTTAATTTTCTATGTTTCTTTTCACTCCTGTGTTTGAACTTCAAATTTTTTCTTCAGCTCTGGTTTTTTCATCAGGAATGCTTGGAAGTCCTATTTCATTAAAGGCTCCTTTCCCCCACTACAACACTATCCTTTGTTTTCTTGGTAAGTTCTTTTTGACCATAAGTCCATATCCTTTGCCTTCTGGAATAGCATATCACAAGTTCTCTGCTCTTTTATAGTGGTATCTATGAAATTGTGTATGATCTCCACTGTGGCTCAATACCTGAACTTTCTTTCTGACTTTGTGGTTTGGTTTTGGTTTTTTTGACCTGAAAGTTCTGGGGTTTGGGCTATGATGTTCCTGGGAGTTCTCATTTTGAGGTTTCTTTCAGAAGGTAAAGTTCAGAAGGTAAACTATGAATTTTTTAATTTGCATTTTGCCCTTTGGTTCTAAAGGATATGGACAATTTTCTAAGATTTCTTGAAATAGGATGTCCTAGGCCTTTTTTTTGATCATGATGTTTTCAGATAGTACAACGATTCTCAAGAGTTTTTTCTCTTCACTTTGTTTTCCAAGTAAATTGCTTTTGCTATGAGATAACTTAAATATTTTGCAATTTTTTTTAGCCTTTTGGTTTTGTTTTAATATTTTTTGTTGCCTTATGAACTCATTGGCTTCTATTTGGTCCATTCTAATTTTCACAGGGTTTATTGTTTAAGCAACGTTTATTACTTCTTGTGCCAAGCTAATAATTCCCTTTCCAATTCTTTCTTTCATTTTCATAAAAATATTTAACTCTTTTTTAGAACTCTTACTTCATCTCTTCCAAAAATGTTGGCTGTGTTTTTCTCTAAGAATTTGCTTGCTGATGTTTTAGAGTCATTCTCTTCTGCATTTGTATCTTGAGTATGCTTGCCACAGTAATAGCTCTTTATGGCGGGCTTCTTTTTTTTGTTTGCTCTTTCTTCTAGCCTACTTCTTGACTTCCAACTTGATATTAGGGTTGGGTTCCGCTGCACTTCTATAAGAAGGTCTGAGCTAGCCCTATTGCTGCTTTCTTGGATACTGAATGCTGAGTTATTCCAGGATCTCAGGGACAGGCTGGGGACCAGCAAGCTTTCAGTTATTCCAAAGTGGTCTGCTCTAGAGGAAAGTTTATTCACTGCCCTAGTGGTTTGAGCTCTCCAAGTTCCAGACCTGGATTTGGGTCTATGTAAGAACAGACTGATGCTGGACTCAACCCCTATCAACCAGCTAGAAAGCTCCATTGATTTTTTCAGTTGTTGTTCAATCATTTTTCAGTCACATCCAACTCTTAGTGACCTCATTAGTGGTTTTCTTGACAAAGATATCGAAATGGTTTGCCATTTCCTCATCCAGTTCCTTTTACAGATAAGGAACCAGACAAACAGGGTTAAATGACTTGCCCAGGGTCACATGGCTAGTAAGTATCTGAGGCCAAATTTAAACTCAGGAAGATGAGTCTTTATCCATTGAGAAGCAGAAGCATAGTTTTCTATTTGGTCTAAGATTCCTGCCTTAGTTATTCCTCTGCAGGCTAGGCTAAATGTTAGAAATGAGACCCCGCTCCAAGTCCAGGGTTGAGCCAAAGAGTTGCTGTTTGCTTCTGAACTTCCACCTCTCTCAGTACACCAACCCAGAGCTTCCTCACTTAGGAAGGCCCAGGTCTGTGCAGGTCCCTTTCTCACTCCACCCCAGATTGGTGACTTCTATCTGGGTAGTAGGCAACAAAACTGCCGATATGCACATGTCCTCATCATAATGCCCTAGTATGGGTCTGGTGGAGACCTGGTATAGTTCTGGAACTCTGTCTTACCCTGGTGCATAGCTTCATCCTGAGTGCTAAAATGCTCCCTTCTTTCCTCACCCAGTCCCCAGTGTCCCAGGACCTCCCTGCCTGTTTCCCTATACCTAGTTAGGATGGAAAAAGGACTCACTGTGACTTTTTCTGGATTTCTCCATCAGGATTCAGACGGATACATTTTCTAGACCTGTTTGGAAGAGTCTGTGGACAAGAGCTCACTATGCCACTTCCTCCACAATCTACTTTCAAGCATTTTGGATGAAAAAGCCAGTGCTGAGTTGTAATTTTAAAATATCAATATAAAGAGTTTATAACTATAACGAGTCCAGAGAACTCTAGAAAAGTGAATTTAAGTAATGGAAGGGACTGTAAGATGACAGAGGAAAACAAACTTTCTAATAGGAGGAAAACAAACAAGCATCCCTTCAGAATCTTATTGTCTTCAACATTTAATGGGGTAGTTGTAAAAGAAAAACAGAGGTCCCGGGGTAAAAAGAGCAATATACTGGAGGAAGGATGCAGAACTTGTAATTTCTCATATTTGGGATGAGTGAGAATATACAAACATAGAGGAAAGGGTAGAAGTAGCGGGCACCAAAAAAAACCCTCATTCTTACATAAAACAAAGAAGGGCTGGACACATTTTTTACACATTGTAGTGTAGAAATACATCAAACTCAACAGGCAAAAAAAAAGCAGCGATGGGGAAGTTGAAGATGAAGAGGGAGGACAATATCTGAAAGGGATTTCAAAGGGGAGGGGGGGAAAAAGAACTAGAATCCAAGAACGTGCCTTAGACTGACTCTCGGACAATTTAAAAATGGCAGAAAACGCGGTGTTACGTTAATGTAATGGAATATTACTGCATTGTTCCCTATGACTAGAATGTCCTCCCTCCTTCAGTGACTTCCCTGGCTTCCTTCTACAGGAAGTCTTCCTCAACCCCACTTAATTCTAGTCCCTTCCCTCTCTTAATTGTCTCCTATTTATCCTAGATATAGCTTGTTTTGTCTGCATGTTGTCTCTCTGTTTGTTTGTTTTTTGGGGGGTACTAGGTAAAGGGGTTAAGTGACTTGCCCAGGGTCACACAGTAAGTGTCAAGTGTCTGAGGCCGGATCTGAACTCA